CATATATAAACAGGCTGATGGGGTAGCGATGGGTAGTCCTTTGGGATCGCTACCTCTACATATATCAAGCGGCTGATGGGGTAGCGATGGGTAGTCCTTTGTCACCGCTTATCGTTACCACTACATATATCAACCGGTTGATGGGGTAGCGATGGGTAGTTCTTTGGGACCGCTTATCGTTACCCCTACATATATCAACAGGCTGATGGGGTAGCGATGGGTAGACATTTGGAACCGCTTATCGTTACCCCTACATATATCAACAGGCTGATGGGGGTAGCGATGGGTAGTTTTTTGGCACCGCTTATCGTTACCCCTACATATATCAACAGGCCGATGGAGTAGCGATGGGTAGTCCTTTAGGACCGCTCATCGCTACCTCTACATATATCAACAGGCTGATGTGGTAGCGATGGGTAGTCCTTTGGGACCGCTCATCGCTACCCCTACATATATCAGCAGGCTGATGGGGTAGCGATGGGTAGTCCTTTGGCACCGCTTATCGTTACCCCTACATATATCAACCGGTTGATGGGGGTAGCGATGTGTAGTCATTTGGCCCCGCTTATCGTTACCCCTACATATATCAACAGGCTGATGGGGTAGCGATGAGTAGTCCTTTGGGACCGCTCATCGCTACCTCTACATATATCAACAGGCTGATGGGGTAGCGATGGGTAGTCCTTTGGCACCGCTTATCGTTACCCCTACATATATCAACCGGTTGATGGGGTAGCGATGGGTAGTCCTTTGGCACCGCTTATCGTTACCCCTACATATATCAACAGGCTGATGGGGTAGCGATGGGTAGTCCTTTGGCACCGCTTATCGTGACCCCTACATATATCAACAGGCTGATGGGGTAGCGATGGGTAGTCCTTTGGCACCGCTTATCGTTACCCCTACGTATATCAACTGGCTGATGGGGTAGCGATGGGTAGTCCTTTGGGACCGCTTATCGCTACCCCTACATATTTCAACATATCGCCCATAGTTTTGTAGGTTTTGAGAGACAATTGTTGATAGGGTCCCTAAACCATGCGGCTATTTCCGTTATGGTGATGACATTTTAACATCTTTTTCATCACATAATGAAACAGGTTTTTACAACATCTCAATAATCTCCATCCCTCTTTGCAATTTACTATGGAGTTGGAGAATAACAATGTTATCTTTCCTGGACTTCCTGGTTGAGAGAGCTTATCCCTCTTTTCTCACCGGCCCTTATCGGAAGCCCACTTTTACTGGGCTGTTTCTCAGTTGGGACTCATTTACTCCTAAATCATGGGAAATTAATCTTGTCAAAACACTTACTCATTGGGCATTGATGATATGTTCGGAGTGCAAACTTGATGTTGAAATTACTAATATCTTTCTCACCAATGGTTATCCGGAAGTTAACATCAAAACAAACATTAGACTTAAAGTTTTCTTCTTAAAGTCATTAAAACATTTGGTATATCTAAGTGCCGTGTCTACATGAGATTACCTTGGATTGGCTCCTGCAGTAAATCATGTGTTGATAAGATCTTCTAAGCATTGGCCTAGCTAGAGTAAACGTCACCCGGGGCGGTCCGCTCAAATGTCACCCCAATGACCCCGATTCACCCTATACTGAATGGTTAGCTGTAGCTAAATTTTCATACATGCTCTACCTCTACTTTACTCTACTGACAGGTACGTTACTGTTTACATGTATGATCCAAGACAAAATCCAATACCACAAAATAATCAGTTCAAATCAAAAGCTGAAAACATTGCTGTTTTTCCTCCTCACAAATTTCCCGATATTTTATTAGAAAATTTCTGATGGGGGGACAAAACTGGGGGTTCATAAATTATTTCTGGGGAGTCATATGCCCGCCTGCAAAACCCTGTGTCTCCACCACTATTTTCAGACTATTTTTGGCACCTTAGCCTGGTTGAAAAATTTTGTTGGGGGTGACATTGTGTCATCCCTACTGTGCTGGCACCCGGGGCGTTCCGCCCCCTCGCACCCCCTTAGCTACGCCACTGCTCCTAAGCTGTCATGCACTGCTTCAATTATGTACTAGTACGGAACATATTTGCTACTAGCAGTGCTTTGCCATCTGTCCGTAAGGATGTCTTGCACACCAATCAACAATTTCCTGTTATTTATCGTTTTAGGTATCGGTGCGAGGCCAACTATGTGGGTAAGGCTATACAACGGCTAGAGGTGCGTTTTTTACAGCACGTGACTGGCTTTATACGTATACATACTTCATTACGATCCTGGCACTCACAGGCGCACGTGTTTGCCATCGAGGAGTAATTATTGAGTTCCGTAAAATGTGGGTCCAATTATTCAGCGGCGTCATTCTCTGTGCTGCACAGAGCTCGGAAGAAAACACCATCTTAACATCTTGGAGGCGGTGGTTATCAACACGTCTCGTCCGACTTTGTGTAGGCAGAGAGAGGTGAAAGAAGAACTGACACTTTTTGGCGAGTCTTTGTCTTGTTATGGCCAACTTTATTTTTTTCTTTTGTTTATTGTTTTCCTTCACCTTCTCCATTGTTGGTCTGAATTCTATTGCAAAGAGGTTTGTTTCCTTTCGGTAGTATTTCTTAATTTTGACCATTTTTCTTCTGACGATGCCCCGAACTTAAGATTTCTTTTTTTAATTAATAAAATGTTCCCTATTTTAAGAATACTATTTATTTGGTGTGGCACAATATATATATACTATATATATATATATATATATATATATATATATATATATATATATATATATAGTAATTCATCGAGTCCGATAGAAACCACAACAGAATGCAGAAAGCACTGGACGGCCGTTTTGTCCTATATTTGGGATTCATCAGCAGTGCGCATCCACTACCGAGAATTGAAACACGGGCATCTCCATAGACAGGCAAACGTCATACCAACCGTACTAACGGACCTTGATATTCCGCCGCTCGTTCACATATTCCGTGGTGGAACTCGTCCAAGTTCATTAACCCCTAGGTTTGTTCCTCCGAGAGCTACCACTACCATCACCAAGCCGCTCCATCCAGAGCGTTAGAAGCTGGTTCAAGCAAAGATATGGTTTGGTTTATGTTTTACGGCATATCAACCTCAATGGGTTATTTAATGCCGACAAAACTTTTATAGCTGGCAATATGTTTTTCTTCAGAAATCTATTTCTGGGAATATTTTTCCTTGAAGAAATCTATAGCTGGTCATATTTTTTTCCAAAGAGTGCATAGCGGTGTGTATTACTGGTATATTTTTAAAGTATTGCTGATAATAATTTTTCCTTCAAAAATTATTGCTGGTAATAAGTTTTTTATTACAAAATATTTCTGGTATTAAAACCGATTTTTACACAAGTTTGGATGTTGACTATTTGCCCACAGCTGGGACCCCAACCAGGACCGGGGTGCTACCACCTCGGGCCAGGGTGGACGCGGGAACACCAACAATTAAGAGGCCATTCCACGCTCTTCAAATCCTCCTGATCAGAGGCCTTACAGTTGGACGTAGTTTATCTCTTTACCCATGACGCGGATGTAGTTTATCGTCATACCCAGGACGATATATATATATATTGGAAAATTGTGCAAAAAAACAGGAAAAATAGTGAAATAGCCGGTATTATCTATGTCTGAAAAAAATATAAAAAATAATTAATAAACCGTGAGCCAAATAGCTTTGCAATTGACGGCCGACATTGCGTCCAATCAAATATCTACGAGGAAAAAGAAATTATTGACGACTTCAATAATAATTGTCACGAAGTCAGAGATAAATCACATTTTTTTGCCTGAAAAGATTTTATCAAAAATGATAGCTAAGCAAAATGACATCGACGGCGACGGTTGGATCTTTACAGCCTAGCGATATAGAAGAATCTGTAATCTCGGGGGACTATGAGACTTTGAACAGATTGGAATATATGGAGTCATAGATAAAATAGATAGATATCAATTCTGTTATATATAGAAAGAGATTTGTATGTGTGTGTGTGTGTGTGTGTTGAGGGTTGAGGGTTGCGTGCACAATAAAATTAATAAACAGAGCCGCAGATAAATGTGGATATAAAAAGTTAGATAATTAATATATATATATATATATATATATACATACAGTGTAACCCGGATGGAAGAGACCCGGATATAAGAGAAACCCGGATATAAGAGAGATTTTCTCTGGTCCAAAATTAGAGCCATACTTACCTAAACAAAATAGACCAAACTCGGATATAAGATAAACCCGGATATAAGAGACTTTTTCTCCGGTCCCGACAACTCTCTTATATACGGGTTACACTGTGTGTGTGTGTGTGTGTGTGTTAGACCTAGAAATGTCAACGGAATGCAGAAAAGCACTGGACGGCCGTTTCGTCCTATTTTTGGGACTCATCGGCAGTACGTATCCAGTTTCGAGAATCGAACTCAGGTTCAATTCTCGATAGTGGATACTGAGTTTTCTAGGTCTAGACATGAAAAATTATGAAAAATTATTACAATTCCCCAAATTAGTATTCAGTTAAAGCGCTCAGAAAGTAAAAACAATTGGACAGTTTTTATATAATTTATCCCCCGAAAAGAAAAAAAATAGATCATATGAGAAATTGTAAAAAAAAAAAAAAATCAAAAAAATCAAAGCACCTTGCCTGTCATAGTCAATAAAACGTGCACGAATGAAGGATTGCTTCCTAAATATACATACACACACATACACACACGCACACACACACACACACACACACACACACACACACACACACACACACATATATATGGCATATCAAAAACTATTTGAGGATTAGGTAATATATATATATATAGGTATATATATATATATATATATATATATATATATATATATATAGGTAATATATTTTTTTGTAGTGATTTTATAACATATTTATGTCATAATTTTTTCAAAATAAATAATTATATCTGCTCGACTTTGTATTGAGCACACTTGTAAGAATAGTAATTGTTGGTTATTGAAATTCATTCTGTATACACCAATCATATACTTGGGTATATACAGTAGCGTCCAAAACTAAGGGACAAGATTTTAAAACCTAATATTTGTTAGAAATAACAACTGTGAAAAGCTGAAATTTTGACAACTGGTAGTCGTCATCATCCATAATAACATACTAAAATTTGAATCATTTGCAAAGGATAGAAAAAGAATTATAACAATTATTATATATATATATATATATATATATATATATATATATATATATATATATATTAAGCCTAAAGAGCCAGATAAACCGACCAAGTTTTCACCTACGCGGATCGTTAGGGAATACTGGAAGGATCTTGCATACCCTGTCGTCAGACATTCTCAAGACATAACAAGTCCACCGTAACTGAGAATGTATGAGAAAAATATATATTACCCAATCCTCAGATAGTTTTTTATATGTCTAAATATTTTTTTACTAGTTTTTGATATGTCTAAATATTCCTAAATCGATTGCTTGATCCACTGGTTTGTATAGCAAGTTCCCCTTTTAGCGTACCTCGGACATTTTTGTTGTTGCTGTTGCTGTTTGTTTTGTTATTGTTTTTGTTGTTGGGTTCATACTTATGTATGCGGTTTAGAACAGAAAATCCGAAATTATTTGCGATTTAAAGAAATTTACTCGTTGGAGGACAAGCTTAATCGATAACGGCTGAAACATATCAAAATCCTGTTCGAAGATTTTATGAATGATCTTAAATCTTGCTGGACAATGGGGTCTCATCAGTTGTGAAATATTAATTATAGTCATTGCTTGAATAATTCATACTGCGTTTTTATCCCAATTCTCAACACTTCTATTTCAAGTATCCAATGCGTTTGTGAATTTATTTAGACGGCGTATACAGCGATATGATGCTTTCATCACATTCACAATGGTTCAAACATTCCAAAACGTCTGATTAAATAAAATAATCGATATTCGAACATGAAAAGAACGCACTTTTATGAAAGAAATATACATTAAGACCCGTGTATATATGTATTAGTGAAATCCAACGAATTGGTCTTGAAGACACATATGCATTTGATTGTCAGCTTTTCTTTATTTGCTGTGAGATTTGTTTAAATTGTACAGCTTTTCATGAGTGATACGTTTCATTGAGTCGGGCTCAGCAACGTTGAATAAAAAGCAACAACAACAACAACAACAACAACAACAACAACAATATGCCTGTTTGTATTAAATTTTCAGAAGCACTTTGTCAATTCCTGTTCATATATTTTCGACAACCAAATAATAAGTGCTTTATTTTCCCCCGATCAATTCGTATTTCTTTCTCGCCGAAGCCCAACAAGTTCGATTTAGGAAATTGAGAAAATCAATTTTGTAAAGTCTTATTTGCATTATCGTCGACATTTTCGCAATCAATAACAGATTTTTTTTCATTCTGTCACTTTGATCTTCCACACGCTCCTTCTCCCTTTCTCACATCTATCTATCTTTGTCAGTCTGTTCGTATCTATCTATCTATCTATCTATCTATCTATCTATCTATCATAATACGTCGCCTATGCATGTATGTATGTATCTATCTCTCACAATTCGTTTTCTATGTATGTATATATGTATGTATGTCAATCTATCTATCTATCTATCTATCTATCTATCTAAGTCAATCTGTTCATATCTATCTATCTATCACAATACGTTGCCTATGCATGTATGTATGTATCTATCCCACACAATTCGTTTTCTATGTATGTATATATGTATGTCAATCTGTGCATATCTATCTATCTATCTATCTATCTATCTATCTATCTATCTATCTATCACAATACGTTTTCTATGCATTTATGTATGTATCTATCTATCACATTTCGTTTTATATGTATGTATGTATCTATCCCTCATATGGTCGCGTAGCCGAGTGGCTAGAACGTTCGTTTTCTGACCATGAGACCATGGTCGATTTGTCAGGATGGAGACTTCTTGATATTATGGGAATGGATCGATGTCGATCCCAGCGTGTGGCACCTTTGGAAAGTGCTTGAAAACCGTCCCACGCGTTGACCCAAGCCTGATGAGTGAAGTTAGGTAGACGGAACTCTTGAGGGACGTCGATAGCTGTGCTAGCACAAAGCCACAAGTCATCGTGGCCGAGGGCTTGAGCGTGCTGGCCTTGTTCAAATTGTTGATCACGCTAGATAACACGCTCATTCCCAGAAACTATGACTAAGGTCTGCACAGCATATTTGTAGTATAAACCACAGTTGGGCTCTGTGGGTGTTGAGCAAACAGAATTGTGCCTGAGCGAACGTCTGCAATAGGGATTAGCTAGCCCACTTAGTTAGCCAGCTATTATTATTATTATTATTATCTATCCGTTTATCACAATATGTTTTATCTATCTATCTATCTATCTCTCTATCTATCTATCTATCTATCTATCTGTTTTCTATCCATCTGTCTGTCTGTCTGTCTATCTATCCCAATATGTTTTCTACCAATCTGTCTATCTATCTATCTGTTGAAACTTGACTAATGCATGGAATAATAATGCAACACAAAATGTACTTAGAACAAAATGTATTGAAACAAGAAAGTGTACACAACATTTACATATAGTCTTTTGTATATTCCTGGTAAGACCGTTCCTGGAGAATGTGTTGACTGAATCGCAGTCGGGCAGAGTCTCTGGTTGAATCTCTTGATTCCTCCCTCTCTTCCCGGTACCAACCATATTTATATGGTCGGTACTCCACTATGCAAATTAGGTGGATCCTACCACAACACAATTAATTTTCTAAGAATGTATGCAGTCAGCTGATGCATGATCTTATTGTAAATGTTTGGAGAGATGGTGAAGTGCCAAAAGATTGGACTGATGCATCAATATATAATGGTAAAGGTGCCTGGGAATCATTTGTTAATTATAGAGAGATTGCTCTTCATTCTTTGGCAGGTAAGATGTTAGCCTCTGTTATCCTATTAAGATTAAACCAGGGCATAGTTAACAATCAACTACCTCAATCACAGTGTGGTTTCCGCCAACACAGAGGGACCCCATATATGATTTTCACAGTACGACAAATCCAGGAAAACAACTATGAACAACAAATGGACCTTTATCAAACATTTGTAGATCTGAGGAAGGCTTTGTCTGACTGTTAATCGTGCTGGTCTCTGGAAGAACTTCTTGAAATTAGTCTCTCCCCACTGACACTTTCTCATGATTCTGAAGTCTTTCCATGACGGTATGGAAGCCTGTGTCAGTTTTGGCAGTATGCTTACGGGGCCCATCAAGGTTGAAAATGGAATAAAGCAGAGAGGTCTTCTAGCTCCTACATTGTTTTCTATCTACTTTGCAATTGTACAGCTTGAGGCGTCCGGGGACTGCCATGATAGTATTATGATAAGGTACAGGTCAACATTTTTTTAAGCATTACGCTGCGAGCAAGGCGTGAAGCCACTAGGATGCAGGGGGTTGCAGAAGATTTGGAGCAAGAGCAGATAGGAATGATAGAAGAAAGGACGAGGAGAAGGATAGTAGGTAGATCAAGATAAGTGGATGTGTCGATTGACATTACATTTGAATAGTTGGAGATTATAGCTCTCAGGGAAACAGTAATTGGGAAGGGTGTTCCACAGGCGAGAGGTGCGAGGTATGAAGCTATTGGAGTAGAAGAGACGGCTACATTTAAAAGTTTCTACAGTGTAAGGGTGGGAGCGGGATGCCAGCCTCGTAGGGCGCTTGAATTCATGGAGTCTGGGAACCAGTGAAAGCAGCTCATCGGAGCAATTACCATGAAAGTATTTGTAGAAACACAAAGAGAAGCGACGGTGCGTCTGTAAGAGAGTGACTGTAGACAAGACGCCAGATCAGGGCCAATTATATTACATATCCGTCTCTGGATCTTGTCAAGAACTCCGAGGTAAAAAGAAAGTGCCCCAGACCATATATGGCAGCAATACTCGAGGCAAGGGCGAATGGTTGATTTGTATATATGAAGTATCGATTCCAGGGAGAAAAATTTCCTGGCGCGGCACAGAGAGCCAACTTTCCTCGCGGTGGAAGAAGCAATTGACTCAATGTATTTGTTCCATCTCAGGTCAGCAGTCAACGTGAAACTGAGCAGACGCAGGGAGTTGCTCTCAAGAAGTTGACTATCAGACATTCTAATTGGCGGCAGGGAAGGATTTCTATGGTGATGAATAGAGAGTAGTTTAGTTTTTGAGGCGTTAAAGTTGACCAGCCAATTCTTGCCCCAATTAGCAACCGATTGGAGGTCCATTTCAAGACGCACGGCCAGGTTAGTTTTGTCACCGACAGTAGATTTGTTTTTGAGACAGGAGTAAATTGTAGTGTCATCCGCGTGGATACCAACTTGGGAATCTGTGGCGTCAGGAATGTCGTTGATGAAAATAAAGAATAGAGTGGGGCCAAGGATGGAGCTTTGGAGAACACCTGCGTTCGTTGGATAGAAACTGAAGCAGAATCTGTTGAGAACGACCTTCAATTCATGATTTGACAGGAATGATTGTATTAGATCAAACAATCGACCTGTAATACCATAACCCTGGAGCTTACGATGAAGGCCGGCATGCCAAACCCTATCAAATGCTTTGGAGATGTCTAGGGCCACGACACGATGCTCACCGTTATTTTGAAGGGCTTGGTAGACGGTTTCAGTGATGGCCGGAAGCACATCAGCTGTAGATCGGGCGTAGCGGAAACCATATTGCTTGTCTGAGAGCAGATCATGGGATGTAAGGTGATTAACAACTTCGGCATTGATTAGGGCTTCGGAGACTTTGCCGAAGAGGGGTAGGAGATTAATAGGACGCTAATTAGAGGGGTCAGATGGGTCTCCAGAGTTATTAAAAGACAGGAACAATGGATGAGGACGTATGTTTGCAGCAAGGCCTAAAGTCTTTTTGAATTTAGTGAGCAACCTTTTCTATGCTGATGACTATAACCTGGTCTCACAAGCAATTCAGCGCACACAGGAGTTCCTGGATCTACTATCAGTGTCATGTAAGGGTTTTGGACTCTCCATCAGCTTTGACAAGACAGTGGTAATGTATCAACCTGCCCAAAGAATTCTGTATAGAGAGTCATCAACTTATGTTGATAGTAGTCGACTTGGGGTAGAAGACAAATTTGTATACCATGGTAGAACCTTCAACCTTAACTGCTCTCTTGACGATGAGATAAGATTACGGATTAAGAAGGCCTCCGATGCATTGGCAGCACTCAAGATCCGTGTCTGGAGTCAGATGGGCCTAAAAAAGCAGACAAAAATTAAAATATATAATGCCTGCGTTATGTCATCTCTACTATATTCATGTCAAACATTGGTAGTCTGTCGCAGACATTTGAAAATACTGAAATGTTTTCATTACCGTTGCCTTCGGTCTGTGATTCAAATCCACTGAATCTTCTACTCCTGATACTGGTATTTTACAAAGCGCCAATTCACTCTCTGTGGAAGCACCTATACACAAGTACAGATAGCGATGGATGGGCCATGTTGTCTGTATGGCGGATGACTGAATTCAAAAACAATGTATGAAGAATTGAAATTGGGAAAAAACTGCAGTACAAGCCGAAACTTCGTTACAAAGATTGCTTTAACGTGTCACAATACAAGTGCAATATTGGTCTGGATAACTGAGAAACTTTAGCTGAAGACCGGGTTTTTTCGAGATCTGGTTTTTTCTGACGGTGTCAAGAAAAAAATGGAGAACTGAATAGATGGGGAAGGAATTAATTCCTGAATTACCATGAGGTGTCCATCTAGCCCTGTGACCAATACAATTGGATGTCTGTCCAAGGCGGGTCTGGTCAGTCACCGGAAATCTCCCCAATACAAGCAATCTATTGTATTTGACGATTTCGTAATGGCATGCTTTGAATGTCCGTGGGAAGGTCCAAGTCGACAATGAATATGAAAAGGCACAAAGGAAGTGATGCTAATCAAACTTCCACCATCCGGAGATGATCTGATATGCCATATATGTCACAAGAAATGCAGATCGATGGCTGACTTTATGAGCCACAGTCGTTCACACAACCAATGAATGCAGTGTTGTGGGCGGAGTTTAACTGAAGGGCTGGACATGTCAGTGATCGTCATACTTGCATTGTGAGTCGACAGCCATTAAAAAGTCACTAATGTATGTATGTATGTAACTATCACATTACGTTTTCTATGTATCTATCCGTCTATCACAATACGTTTTTTTATCTATCTATCTATCTATCTATCTATCTATCACAATATGTTTTCTATCCATCTGTCTATCTATCACAATGTTTTCTATCAATCTGTCTGTCTGTCTATTTATCTATCTATCTATCTATTTATCTATCAAAAATACTTTTTCTTTCTTTATCTTTCTCTCTTGCTCTCTATCTATGCTCCATTCTGTCACAGAAAAGACATTCAAATGAAATTTCCAATTTGTCATTAAAGGACATTAATTTCGTCAGCAATTTTGTGGGCCATTTATAAATAAATTTCTTCCTAGATCAATGAAAAAGAAATGAATCGTACATATGTTTATTGAGTGCCAATTATTTCCTTACACAAATCCTAAATAAGTTCTGATAAAACAACTTAAAAGTAAAATAAATGTGCGATCAAAGTTCAGAAGTAATCTGTAGTTACGTATGTTGGTAATTAATACTAGCATGTATATTCTTCTTCTTCTTCTTCTTCTTATTATTATTATTATTATTATTATTATTATTGGATTTGATCTTCTTTTTCTTGTCTCCCTCTTTTTTCCCAATATATAAGTGTGCAATAAGTCATGTATATTTTATATGATAATAATATTAAAATATCAATTTTGGTTGATTTTAGTTGATCACTATATCAATACCTCTATAGGACATTTTATGCCGAAATCTAAATATTTTGAATACGATTTTACGGCTTCAACTAAATATCTTTTGACGCAATTGTATTTTTACAACCACAGATAAAATGTATTGTTTCGTCATTTTGCTTTAAATATGTATTGTTGTGTGACGTCACCCGGTGCTGTCTGCCCCGTCGCCGTCCTATCCTGCGACGACCAATGTGACTTGGTATTGGTCGCGGCACCAAACGTGACGTTCTAACCCTTTGCTGATTCGGATGGGAATCTGGTTAGATTCGGTATCAACCTTGTCGTTCCCAGCTCGCCTCCAACGTCTGATTACCGAGGTAACTGCTTTGATTTCTAGTCTAACCTCCCCACGTTGTGATTTGATCTTAGGTAGACGAAATCAATCAGTCGCCGGGCCGCAATGCAAGTCGAGTCCGAACAAGGGTAATACTGCACAAGTATATGTAAAAGAAAATAAAGTAACAACTCAAAAAGTTCAAATGTGTTAAAAAAAAGAATAACAATATTTTATATCTGGTTGCTGAATACAGGACTGCGTCTTTATCCCAAACCGCTATATGGATTCGTGACACTTTGTGTTTGTTCGGCGAGTCTTAACATCTCAAGTTTTTTTTTTTTTTTTTTTTAGAAACTGGTTTTTTGGTG